GTGGGGGAGACTTATTAGTGTTGGTTTGTGCCTATCTTCGGTGACCTGCAGCTCATGCTTTGGTCGAGCTGCTTGCTGGTGCTTACCGCCTTAAATCAGGCAGACCGAATCCAAGCCTCCTAATTGTTGCATTGTGGGGAAGCCTTACTGATGTTAATTCGTGCCTGTCTTCGGTGACCTGCGGCGCACAAGCTGCTGGCCGCCCAGGTGCTCATCGCCTCACTAATCGGGCAGACCGAATCCAAGCCTTCTAATTGTGGTATTGTAGGGAGGCCTTTCTATTTCTCTATTTCTCTATCTCCGGGCATTCCTATTTCTCCCATTTTACTTCTATCTTCCAGCATTCCTATTTCTCTCATCTTCTAAACTTCTGTTTCTCTTATCCCTGCGGCTTTCCGGCGCCCGCCCCGAGACTGCTTCTCGGTGGCTTCCCGGCTCTGAGCCACTTCAGCCCGCGCTTCTCCGATCTGCGCGGCTTCCCGGCTTTGCGCGCACGCTCCGCGGTCTCCACGCACTTCGCGCCCGCACCACGGCCTCGCGCCAGCCCCGGCGTTCCCCATCTATTCACGCCCCGTGCTCTCTCTGCACGCGGCGGCTTCCGCGAATGTTTCCGCCACCACCGGCATTCAGTCCAAGTTCCCCGGACTAACCTGGCGAATTCCAACCTGGCGGCCCACGTCTCTGCCTCTGGTTCCAGATGTTCGCCTCTTGCTCCCCGGGGTGACTTGAAGAATTCCAAGGTGGCTTATGTCTCCGCCTCGGCCTGCACTCGCGGCTTCATCCTCCCTAACATTTTTCTCTACCCGGTATGTTTCCCTAAGTTTTCTTCCAACAATATTCCTCTCATTTCTCCTGGCTTCTCCCCACAGTCCGTATCCGAGTCCAAGCCTCCTCCAGGTTTCACTTTCGCTTTCAATCTCCTAGCTTCCCCACCATAGTCCGCATCCGAGTCTATGAAAGCTTTCACTTTCGCTTTCAATCCTAACTTCTTTCCCACAGTCCATATCCGAGTCTATGCCTAGGCTTTCAATAGCTTCTTCCGGCACCTAGGCTCTTTGCTAGTCTCTCTCTCCGGTATTTTCCTGCTTCTTCCCGTTTCTTCCCTCCTAAGTTTCCTATCCGTCCTAGGTTTCCTAATCCGAGTCATGTTTCCTATCCGAGTCACGGCACCATTATGTCGCTCCCCCTCTTCGTGGGGGAACGACACTGAACCCTGCCTAGGCTTCCTATCCGAGTCACGGCACCATTATGTCGCTCCCCGTCTTCGTGGAGGAGCAACACAGGACCCTGCGCTGTTCTCTCGTCTGCTCGGCCCTCCCCGGGTTTGCTGCTGGTTCTTCCCGGGTTGGCTACTATCCCTTCCACCTCCGTGGAAGGGTAGTTCCCCCTGGCCACATTCCCCACTTCCGCAGGGGAGCGGCACACCGCCGGCCGGCTCTCTCGGGGGCTGCACAGGTGTTCCCCTTAGATGTTCCCCATAGATGTTCCTGGTGCATGCCGTCTCTCTCCTCCTTTATAGTCCTCCTCCGCCAATCCCAACTCGGCTGCCCACACGCCGAGTACGCTGCTCTCCTCCAATCAGGAGCAAGTCCTACAATTTATTAGTTGAACTGGAGGCAGCTGTGCGGAAGCTGTTTACTTCTCTCCCAGCGCCATATTGTGGGAGAGCAGATGCATAGAATAAGTCTTAATTCGAGTAACAGTCTAGTCCGGATTGCTCCCCACAAGGAAACATGGTAAAAACATTTGTTTCTAAAAAGGACTTCAGAATGTCTATGGCTAGAGGCATTGAGACTGAAATAGAGGATTTACAAATGAGGACGGCCTGGCAAAGGGCAATGGTGAAGCACTGACAGTTCTCGAATGCCTGGGAATTCCCACGTCATTGATGCACACATTTCCAGCCATATTTCATGGGTTCTTTACAAGCATCTCTAATCTGGATTCAACAGCGTACTCATTTTCTGGTGATAAAAGTGAGGTTCAAGGGAGTTAGATAATTTGAGCAAGGTCACTCAACTAGGAACATAAGAGATTATATGATTTGTAGGCCTAAACCAAAGTGAAAATTCAAGGTCCTTTGTTCAAAAATTATTAATAGCAAAGCATTAAACCACGACCAGGGACCTTCTGAGCATGAGGCCTTGTGAGACACAGCTTGCAAGCACACGAAGCTGGTGGGACAAGGAAGATTTGAATCTCAGACTAATAGGAAAGCCCATTTTTTTGCAGTAAATCATAGGAGCCATGCCTTATTGTGCACAATGAATGATACCCAATGGTGAGTTCAGTCCCGTAGCTGGTTAAAAACTGAATTGCAGGTTAGAAGTGCCTTCTGTGATGTCTGTTGTTTGTTATCAGTTCAGAAGGCATTTAATTATTTTATTTGACCTAGGTTAGAAAAGGAAACTTTCTACCAAAGGCTTGGCAATATATCTTCTTAAATATCAAGTAGCTAAGAATAACTCTTTTAACTCCCCCACTCCTGAATTCTTCCCTGAACCCTTTCTTTCTGATGAACAATACTGTAGCAATGATGAGATGTTTACTGATGAAATCACCTTATGTGAGACAACTGGGTGAATCCTGAAGTAGACAAACAAACTTCTTAACAATGGTTGCAGCAGTTGAGTTAAATCTTAATTTCATTTAAGAGTAAGCTACTGGAGTTGGGCATTGTGGCATAGTGGGCTAAGCCCATGTCTGCAATGCCAGCATCCCATATAGGCACTAGTTTGAGTCCTGGCTGCTCCACTTCTGATCCAACTCTCTGCTATGGCCTGGGAAAGCAGTAGAGCATGGCATAGGTCCTTGGGCCCCTGTGCCCATGTGGGAGACCTGGAGGAAGCTCCAGTCTCCTGGCTTCAGATAGGCACAGCTCCGGCTGTTGCAGCCAACTGGGGAGTGAACCAGAGGATGATGGAAGACACCCCCCCCCCGGCCTCTTCTTCTCTCTGTGTAACTGACTTCAAATAAATAAATACATCTTTTTTTTATTTTTTCTTTTTCTTTTTTTTTTTTCTTTGACAGGCAGAGTGGACAGTGAGAGGGAGACAGAGAGAAAGGTCTTCCTTTTGCCGTTGGTTCACCCTCCAATGGCCGCCGCGGCCGGCGCGCTGCAGCCGGCGCACCGCGCTGATCCGATGGCAGGAGCCAGGAGCCAGGTGCTTCTCCTGGTCTCCCATGTGGGTGCAGGGCCCAAGCACCTGGGCCATCCTCCACTGCACTCCCTGGCCACAGCAGAGAGCTGGCCTGGAAGAGGGGCAACCGGGACAGAATCCGGCGCCCCAAGCGGGACTAGAACCCGGTGTGCCGGCGCCGCTAGGCGGAGGATTAGCCTAGTGAGCTGCGGCGCCGGCCCTTTTTTTTTTTTTTAAAAAAGGAGTGTTTGGCCAGCACTGCGGCTCACTAGGCTAATCCTCCGCCTCATGCCTCCAAGGCATGGCTCCTATGAAGGCCTGCCAGCACCCCAGGTTCTAGTCCCGGTTGGGGCGCTGGATTCTGTCCTGGTTGCTCCTCTTCCAGTCCAGCTCTCTGCTGTGGCCTTGGAAGGCAGTGGAGGATGGCCCAAATGCTTGGGCCGCTGCAACTGCGTGGGAGACCAGGAAGAGGCTCCTGGCTCCTGGTTTTGGATTGGCACATCTCTGGCCATTGTGGCCAGTTGGAGGGTGAACCAGCGGATGGAAGATCTCTCTCTGCCTTTCCTTCTCTCTCTGTAACTCTGAATTTCAAATAAATAAATTTTTTTAAAAAACGTCTACATTGTCAAATAAGTTATTAAAATTCCAGAAAAAGTCTTGGCATCAATCCAAGCTAGTCAAATTTTCAGGCAAGCTTTGACGTTTCCGACAGCAGCCTCTAGAGGGCAATCTCGTTTGCTGTTAATCAGCCCAAGTCCGCACTCCCTTCTCTCCCCTCTCTCCGCCTTCACTCTGGCCCCGCCTCCGAGCATGCCTCCGCCCCTATAGGGTCCCGCCCCCAAAGGACCCCGCCCCCATAGGGCCCCACCCCTGGCCCATCGCCCTCCCCCGCCCTCACTGCGTTTCCTCCAGCACTGGTTCTTGCCCCGCCTCTCAGCGCCCCGTACCGGAAAAGCCACCATAGGCCGCTCTGGCCTCTTGGAGGACTGATCATCGGTGTCCTGGGCGGTGCAGGAGCGGTGGGCGGGTCTGACGTGAGGAGATTTTTGGGTTCCCCCTGCTCCCTGAGTTTTGGCCTCGGAGTCCTTTGGCCATGGGACAGCAGGATGTGTGTAGGCTCCTGTGGAGGTGAGTGAAGGAGCGAGCGGCCGAGGGCTTGCTCGTCTGCTGCGCTCGACGGGGTGGGGGAAAAGGGCAGCGTGAAGACTGTGTGGGGTCGCTGTGGGGGTCGTAGCTCTGGGATCCGAGCCCCGGCCGTCCCCAAGCCCTCGCATAGCCCGCCTCTTCCGGGTTGCGGCTTTTCGCCCTCCGGCACCTTGTTTGCCGCAACTGCACGGTTTTCTGCCGTCCTGGCTGTTAGCCTGGACCTCCCATTTCTGTCCTTTGGCCCTGACTTCTTCCTTTCTTGGGCCTCGGATGCGGTCGCGACCCGTTGCGTGGCATGATTTGTGCCCCCACAGACACGCGCTGCAGCCGAGCTGACTTCGTTGCCCGGCTTTGCCCGGTGGCTGCAGCGTTGGCGCAGGCGTCGGGAACTTCGGCCAGTGTTGCGGAGTGAGGTGCAGACGCTGGGCTGAACTTTCTGAAGGCGCTGCTCACCACAGCCTGGGCTTAGCAAAAGAAAACTGGTAGCAGTCGTTTTGGGAAGCTGGGTTGCGTGAGCCTTGAAGCCTGCCCCGCCAGCCCGCGTGCAACGCCAGGGAGCACTGTGCCCAATTGGAGGGAGAACTGAGCTTAGAATTACTGTGCCCTTTGCGCCTGAACCGGTTGCCTTAGGGCTTTACTGCAGAGGGTCAGGGTGTTTTTTTAACAGTTTCTGTTTTAGGGGAAAACGTCTAGCTGTGTAACATTGTATCCGCAGACCTGGTTCCCTGATGTTTGTTATTCTTTGGTGTTTCTTTTCTTAAAAAAAACCAAAAAACAAAAAACAAAAAACTTTATACTTTTAAAATTAGTTGTGCACCTGTTGCTAGCTCATGGAAATCAGTACCTGTAATTATTGCTTGTTTGATCTTTTTAGCAAGTACCGAAGTGTTTGAGAAATAAATTGGAAGAGCATGTTTGTTAATCAAGTTAACTGAGTTGGGGAAGATCTGGTAATAACCACAGTTCACTTTGGCTTTATTCCACCCCACGTTTCAAGATGTGGACTGAATAGGCGAAGGCTGGGATGGATTTTAGAGTTCTGATGCCTTTTCCAAGTCTCTTGGAGTGGACATTAACCTAGCAAAGCAGAGAGCTGAGGCCAAGGTTGTCCAGTCTGAAACAGCCTAACCCACAGATGTAGAAGGGAGCAGGGTACCACGGAGGATCCTGAGGGAAATGGGTCTCTCTCTGTGCTGTGGTTGACACTGTTGGGCAATCCCACTTGAACTCTGGCTTCTTTTTGGCTTCCCTGGCACTGTCTTTCCTGTTACAGGTGAGTTTCCTTCATCCAGAATGCTTGGGCTCAGGGTGTGTGATGAGATATCCTGGAGATGGAGCGCAGGTCTAGACACCAACTGCTGTATGTTTCATAGCACTGCACACATGTAACGTGAAAGTAATTTTGTGCAATGTTTTTAGTGCACCTGAGTTCAACTCTGGCCTGTCACATGAGGTCAGGTGTGTAATTTTCCACTTGTGGCAGCATGTTGGTGCTCAAAAAGTTTTCAGAACAGGGTTGCTCAACCCGCTGTGCTTCTTATCTTGTTTCAGTGCCAATTCAGCCCTTGGATTTTTTGTTGTTTTCCCAAATCACTTCTCAGAAGATAACACTCAAAGTTTGTATGTCTAGCGCGATTTATCCTGAGCTGTGGTACTAGTCACAATCATTTGAATGTTTTGAATGCACTTCAGATGTAAATTTTGTCAACCAAAGTAAAATCAATTTAGTTGAGAATAAAAAGGTGTTGTTTATTTGGTGATTAGGATTTCAATTCGGGAGACACAATTTAAGCAATTTTGAGTATTGCTACAAAATGTTACAAGATGGTGGCTTTTCTATAGCTTAAACTACAGGGAGGTTGTTAATTACATCTCTTCTTGGTCAAGAATTGTGATTGTTATGGCAAAACTTTGCAAGAAAGGATTTGGGCACAGTCTCTGGAAGCAAGGGGATGACCTCAGTCAGTAACTGTTACAAAGGCCGGTGGATCTTGTTCCAGAAATTGTAGTTTGTCCCCATTCAAAGGGTCAGTGCTTACCAGGTAGGTTATGTGTAGACTGCTCAGTTCAAAAGTTTAACTGGAACATACCACATAACTCATTTCAAATTTTAGCAATGGATGTACCTGAGACCTTATTAAAATTTTTTTAATTTGAGAAGCAGAGAGCCAGAGTAACTTCCCATCTGCTGGTTTAGTCCTCAAATGCCCATAGTGGCTGGGGCTGAAGCCAGGTGCTGGGAATACAATCCAGGTCTCCCATGTGGCTGGCCTGGACCCAAATACTTGAGTCATCACCTGCTGCCTCTTAGGGTGTGTATTGGCAGAAAGCTTGAATTGAGAGTGGAGCCAGGACTGGAAACCACTTTATTTTCCTTGACAGTTTGCACTTATATGCAACTTTTACTTCTCAGTTATTGCTGTTGGCACTTTTAAAGATTTATTTGAAAGGCAGAGAACTTCAATCCAATTGTTCACACTCCAGTTGGCTGCAACAGCCTGGTCTAGGCCAGGCCAAAGCCAGGAGCCAGGAATTCTGTCCTGGTCTCTCCGTGGGTGGCAGGGACCCAAGCACTTGGGCCCTTTTTTTTGCCTTCCCAGGTGAGCTTCCCAGGTGAGCTTCCCAGGGCGCCAGATTGGAAGCAGAATAGCTGGGATTTGAACCAACACTTGGATGTGGAATGCTGGCATTGCTAGTGGCTTAACCCACTGCACTAGCACGCTGGCCCCTTGGCGTTGGTCTTTGAGATTACTAAAATTATCTAAGTTCTCCTACACTCCCAGACCTTATCTTTTCTTACTGATTCAAATTTGAACAATACTGGCAGGCTCATGTACCTGGGTCCCTGCCATCCACACGGGAGAACAGGATAGAACTCCTGCCTCCTGGCTGTTGTGGGCATTTGGAGGGATTGAACCAGTGGATAGAAGATCTCTGTCTCTTTCGTTGTCTCTGACTTTCAAATAAAGTTATATAAATTTGAGAGTAAATTTTATTTTACTGTTGATCTTGTAGAAACTTGATTGACGACTTACCATCTTCCCAATTAGAATAGGTTCTGCACGTGACTGCTGATGCAATCTTTCCAAAGTTTACTTCAGTGCTTGCTGTTCTTCTTAGAAGCTCTCAGATGTGCCCTCTTGATTAAGAAATTAAATAGAGCTTCACCAGCTAGACAAAGGTTTGGCTCTGATTGACTTCATGAATCTAATAAGGCTTACCATTCTCTTCTGTCTGTTGGGAGGCACTGTTCTAGAACTTTCTATAATCTAGCCTACTTGGTGTTCTTACTGCACCTTTGTGTAAGGGTCCTTGAAGTGTGAAAGGAAAGTGAACATGTGATAAATACTTAGATAAGAGTATTATTTGGTTACTACTTCTGGTACATGTCTCAAAGGAAAAGCAGTTGTGAGGAAGCCAGATTTAGTTAGGGAGAGGGCCTCAGGAAGCTTTTTCAAAAAGGGTGATCTTTACTTGTTTTTTAATTTGAGAGGCAGAGAGTGAGAGAGAGGCCACAGCCAGGAGCCGAAAGTAATCCCTTGTGAGTGCCAGGAACCTAGTCCCCTGAGCCATCATCACTGCTTCCCAGAGTCCTAGAGTCAGGAACCAGAGCTGGGAATCGAACCCAGGCACTCTGATATTGGACATGGTCTTCTTAATTGCTAGGTTAGGTGACATGACATCTCCTGGAGCTTGATTTTTAAATTGTTAATAGTACTCATTCCTTTTACTCTGTTTTTGCCAAACTACACTGTTTGTTTCTTGCTCTTTGGCTAACTGTCGCTCCCCCTCTTCATGGAGGAACGACACTAAGCCCTGCCTAGGCTTCATATCCGAGTCACGGCACCATTATGTCGCTCCCCCTCTTCGTGGAGGAACGACACTAAGCCCTGCCTAGGCTTCATATCCGAGTCACGGCACCATTATGTCGCTCCCCCTCTTCGTGGAGGAACGACACAGGACCCTGCGCTGTTCTTTTGCCTGCTCGGCCCTCCCCGGGTTTGCTGCTGGTTCTTCCCGGGTTGGCTACTATCCCTTCCACCTCCGTGGAAGGGCAGTTCCCCCTGGCCGCATTCCCCACTTCCGCAGGGGAGCGGCACACCGCCGGCCGGTTCTCTCGGGGGCTGCACGGGTTCCCTTAGATGTTCCCCATAGATGTTCCTGGTGCATGCCGTCTCTCTCCTCCTTTATAGTCCTCCTCCGCCAATCCTAACTCGGCTGCCCACACGCCGAGTACGCTGCTCTCCTCCAATCAGGAGCAAGTCCTACAGTTTATTAGCTGAACTGGAGGCAGCTGTGTAGAAGCTGTTTACTTCTCTCCCAGCGCCATATTGTGGGAGAGCAGATGCATAGAATAAGTCTTAATTCCAGTAACTCAGTCTAGTCCGGATTGCTCCCCACAGCTAACTCTCTTCTTACTTCCACTTAGTTGTTTCTTATTGACCAAAGGCTAAGTCTTTAATCAATTCATCTTTTTTCTTCCTACCTTCCTATCTTCTTGCCTCTCCCTTCCTCCCTTTCCTGTGCTAGGAATCACAAACTGAAAAGCAGATGCCAAGAAGGAAGCATTGAGTGATGCTGGTTAGATGTCAGCAGAGGGGGCCAGAGGGGACTGGTGAGCTGGAGAGAGTGCTCTGTCTAAAGGAGGCAGTTTCTCAGCCCCAGCTTGTTGCTATTGTAGAATGGGGGCATTTGGCATGATGGTTAAGAAACTGCTTGTGATGCCTGCATCCCATATCCGAGTGCTTGGTTCAAGTCCCAGCATCCCCACTTCTGATCTAGCTTCCTCCTAATGTACACCCTGGGAGGCAGCAGATGGTGGGCGAGGTACATGGGTCCCTGCCACCCATGTAGGTGACCCAGATTGAGTTCTGGACCCCTGGCTTCATCTTGACCCATCCCAGGTTATCATGGGCATTTGGGGTGTGAAAGAGCTAATGGAAGATCTGTGTGTTCATCTCTGCCTCTCAAATAAAATGGGGGAGGGGGACAGGGAGGAAATGTAGGGACCAGTCTTGTGGTACAACAGGTTAAGCTGCTGCCTGCAACACTGGCATCTCATATCGGAGCACTGTTTTGAGTCCCTGCTGCTCTGCTTCTGACCCAGCTCCCTGCTAATGCACCTGGAAAAGCAGTGGAAGATTGGGCCTCTGCCAATCATACAGGAGACTCAGATGGAGTCCTGGATCCTGGCTTTAGCCTAGACCAGATCAGTCTGTTGCGGTCATTTTGGTAATGAACAAGTGGGTGGAAAATCAGTCTCTCTTTCAAAATCCTTAAAAAAAAATGTAGATATTGTAGATCCAGAGTTTCCATAGCTACCAATTTTTCTGGAAAAGCTGGAGAACTATTTTTTTTTTTAATTTTTTAAACTTTTATTTAATAAATACAAATTTTCAAAGTATATAGTGGCTTTCCCCCCCATAAACACCCTCCCGCCCGCAACCATCCCATCTCCCACTTCTTCTCCCATCCCATTCTTCATCAAAATTCATTTTCAATTATCTTTATATACAGAAAATCAACTTAGTATATACTAAGTAAGGATTGTAACAGTTTGCACCCACACAGACACACAGAGTATAAAGTACTGTTGGAGTACTAGTTATACCGTTAATTCACATAGTACAACACATTAAGGACAGATCCTACACAGGGAGTAAGTGCACAGTGACTCCTGTTGTTGTTGTTGTTGTTGTTTTTGACAGACAGAGTTAGAGAGGGAGAGAGACAGAAAAAGGTCGGTCTTTTTCCATTGGTTCACCCCCCAAGTGGCCGCTACAGCTGGTGCGTTGCGGCCGGCGTGCTGCGCTGATCCGAAGCCAGGAGCCAGGTGCTTCCTTCTGGTCTTCCATGCAGGTGCAGGGCCCAAGGACCTGGACCATCCTCCATTGCCTTCCTGGGCCACAGCAGAGAGCTGGACTGGAAGAGGAGCAGAGGAGCAACTGGGACAGAATCCGGCGCCCTGACCGGGACTAGAACCCGGGGTGCTGGCGCCGCAGGTGGAGGATTAGCCTAGTGAGCCACAGTGCCAGCCCATAAATAAATAAATCTTAAAAAAAGAAAAAGTCCAGTTGACATCGTCTCCAGAAAATATGGATAAAAAAATTCAGAATAAAGCAGCTGAGATGTGCATGCCTCTTTTAAATGTCCACTAGATGGCAGTGTGGAGCCAATACAAAACAAGGAGAAGACCATACATTCAGAAATGCTGGGAACTGATTTCTCACATACAATTTTGAGGCATAAAAGTTATTAATATAAGTTTTTAAG